AGTGACAAAAGAACAGCGTATATACATTTTCCTGTATCATCATTTCATTTGCATGCTTCTTACTGGCTTCGCTGATAGAAAGATTCAAATCAGTGCCAGTGAAGAGCTCAAGTTTCATAAAACGATACTGTCAGTTCAAATGCAACAATAAAATATGCGCTGAAAACATTTTCCTCTCGTAATTTACACTTAGCCAGATACTGAAAACCAGGATACCGAGTAGCACATCCACATCGTTATTGTAATCTGTTTGCCTGATTGTTAGCCGTTTTCCTATGTCGCGTCTGATATTAACTTTTTGCACCCACGTGGCGTCAGTGCCGTTTACCTTACGTTCGCCTTGTCACCGTGCACGAAATTGTTGTGTGCGTGTAACTCGGAGCAAACCGGTCAAGGAAAGATAGTTTACTCGACGCCTCTCACAACAATTTTCGCTACAGCACTGGGCTTTCATTTTCCGCTTGTTTTTTTTTTTTGCCACGTCCTCCTGCCGCATTTCACGCGGCTTGTTTTGTCAAGTGAAACGCAACGCGCACGTCCTCCACAGCGACGCCGCGTTTTGTTGCGCGCCTTCAAAGGTAGCCGCGTATCGAGCGCTTTGCAACAAAATATCCCACAGAGAAGCCGCCTGCGTGAACGGGAAATAATTCTCTTTCTTTTGTCCGTGCCTTCTTTTCCCTGAAATGAATAGGAGTGAACGTTGGCGCTACAGTAGTAACCGCAAGGAATAGAAGAAAAACAAACGCAACTCAAATGGCCTGAGAAAGGTGGGATGGAAGAGAAGTACTTTACCTGCCCGTGCCGACGCGGCGGAGCAATCTTTTGCCCTCTTCGTTTTTTTTTTTTTTTTCTTCTGCGCTTCATCCTTTTCGCGATGCAAATCGTTCTCGCGTTTGCGCTCTGGCATCTATTTTACCCGTGAATGCGAGGCCGTGTGCGCAAAAGACGATGCTCGGCTGGAGTGAAATTCCAGAAGGAAGCGGCGTTTTCTCCGCGGAAGACGATTGGCGCCCGCTGCCGTTTCGTCATTTCATCGCCCGAGGTTGTTCGGAGTATGAGGCGCATCGTTCGCTCTGTTCTGACCGTCATCCGACCGCGCACTTTTGTTTTGTGGATTTTAAGTTTCGCCTTACCCGGGCTCTTCGCTTTGAATTTTTCGTCCGCTAGGTGGCCGTTTCTGGTCACAACTCGATCACCACGCTCGGAAAGAGCAACAGCCAAAATAAAGCTGGCTCACTTGTTTTTTTTCTCTTTGTTTTTAAATGAGCTCACTAGTTAAACATCAAGAACCGGCATCAGTCACGTCATTTAACAATGATATCGCGGTATTACCGTGTTAACTAATGATTTTTGTCTGGACTGCGCAGCGCAGCGCTGCATGTTTTTGGCCGCTCGCGTCGAATCAAGCGCTACCAAGTTGACATTCTGTGGTCGGCGCAGTACAGTATACTGCATGTCATCCAAGAAATCGCTTGCGCAGGGGCTTTTCTTCACAATGGTCTTGGGAAAGACTAGGGTTCGTTTTAAAATAATGAGATATCTTTCGTCACCTTTTTCCAGCTTGATTATTGCATCACGAGTAAAAATGTTTTCACCTTAGTCAGCTGTTCCAAAAGAATAGGCATTCCGCTTTGCGCCTCGTCACCATCATCAACAGCATACCAACCGCCACCACCATCACCATCCAAACTACAGCATTTCTTTTTCTTTGCAGAAGGAAGCCTCTCACAATTATCTCCAAGTGATCCTGTCTTCTGTGAGATGATTTCGTCTGCATTCTGCATTTGTTTACTTACAACAGAGCTGAAAACTGCGTAAGTTAGTATGCTTTCGTCATTATACTGGAGAGGGTGCACTAACGACGGGCACAAAGAGAGCAGAGCACGACACAAGCGCTTCTGTTGTGCTTTCCTCTCTCTGTCCCCGTCGTCAGTGCGTGCTCTCCGGTAACGATGAATTTATTTACTGAACTCTTGCTCAATATGTTCCACGCTTTACGTTTCCTAAGAAATCATTTCGGAAAAGTCGCCTACTGTTCTGGAAGGTACATTTCATGAAACCACAGAAGGAGATCAAGCCTTGACACCCCGCGAAAATCTATATTAATACATTACAGAAAGAAGGTATATATAGCATAAAAACGACAATTCGGTATTCTTAGATTTGCTAAATAGACAAAACAAGATTGTTAGTCACGGAAAATGAGTTCGATCTAGGGGGAGCAGGGCAAACTTACTATGAAATCGTATCGGGATATTATACAAGATACTTGGGTAACATGTATTTAATATACAGATGCAACGTTCTACCGCAATTATTCTATTGCTTTATTTCTAAATTTATGTTAAGACATATCGCAAAATTTGTATTTTTCATTATTTATGTCTCCGTAACGTAGCAGAAAACGCGTATACACACAAAATAGTTACTTGAAGCTTGAACTGAAGCTTGAACTGCGACCAACGGCATTTCAGTTGAACGAAATGTCGGATAGTATCCCTAAGGGTTCGTCATTCTTTCTCAAAGTGGAACTTTGCATTTCGAATCAGTTTATTTGGGTTGATTCAGGTAGGTAACATGATGATTTGTGGGATTTAATGTTCCAAAACCACGATATGATAATGAGAGACACCGTAGTGGAGGGCTCCGGAAATTTCGACCACCTGGGGTTCTTTAACCTGCACCCAAATTTGTAGCACACAAGCTTACAGCATTTTTGCCTCCATCAAAAATGCAGCCGCCGCAGCCGAGATTTGATCCCGCCACCTGCGGGTCAGCAGCCAGGTAGACCACCGCGGCGGGGCAGGTAGGTAATATGACAGCACTGTTAGCTTTAGTAAGTGATGGGCATCTTCTCTCTGCCTTTCGTCCAGCTAGCGGGTTGCAATCTCATAACAAGAACTTTTATAAGACGCTCTGAACGACGACCTGAATATGAGTGTGGTGTTTTACCTTGACCGTGAACGTACTACTGTTTACGGAATACTGGATAACCAGGCAGGTGTACAGCAGCTGCCGCAACAACGCCTGTAGCGACCTCTTTTCTGATGCATCATGTAAACGTATAGAGGACAAAAAACGTTGATGCATTTTCATGTTCTATTTATGTGCAAGCGTAAAAATACGCTAGTGGCGTACTTCCCTACGTGCAATCTTCTAACATTTTTTTTTCTTACGAGAGAACATGTGCAGCCAGTAAACAAAGCATCGCCGGCAACACCCCCAATCACAGGGTTGCTACATATGGCTCTGAATACCTTGTGATTGGATACTTTAAAACATGAAGGAGGCTTAAAAATAGGAAAAAAGTCATATATCTAAATAAAACATATATCTAAGTAAGTGTGTGTGTGTGTGTGTGTGTGTGTGTGTGTGTGTGTGTGTGGGTGTGTGTGTGTGTGTGTGTGTGTGTGTGTATGTGTGTGTGTGTGTGTGTGTGTGTGTGTGTGTGTGTGTGTGTGTGTGTGTGTGTGTGTGTGTGTGTGTGTGTGTGTGTGTGTGTGTGTGTGTGTGTGTGTGTGTGTGTGTGTGTGTGTGTGTGTGTGTGTGTGTGCATACGTGCGTGCGTGCGTGCGCGCCCACACGCCCTACTTTATGTCTGTGTTTTCGTGCTGTTTGCCACAATGCTTTAGCATTGGCTACCTTGTCGAAAAATTTCCGGATATGATAAGGAACTTTATGTGGTTATTCCTCATGATTGTTCTTTATGAGCATACCGTAGTCTTTATTAAACTGATAATTGTATATTCATCAAGAATGGAGTAATTACAAATCGAACAAAGAATACATGACATTCGAATAACGTGTTCGACGATCTACCATTGAGCTATCACGGCGGCTAATACATGACATTGAGAAAAGTTAAAAGTTGCTGTGGCAGCAGCTACAGCAAACAGGCCTCACAACCGAAAAACACAATCGGCCTCAGCATGTTTATAAAGTATGGTTGCTTAGTAACGATGCTGTCACCTGTTTTCTACTATTCTTTAGCTAAAGATTCAATAAAAATGACAACAACGAAGGTCTTGTTTTGAAGCGCCGTCTGTCTGCACTCTCAGTTCGTAAAATTAATGTTAATATATTGCCCTTCAGCTAGTCTTTGCCACCAGCTATGCTTTGGCTCCTTCTGAAAGCCTTACTTTTTTGTCCTCCTTAGATACAATTTTGTTATTGTTCATCTGTTTAGTTTCAATGATCTTCCTTTGCAAGGAGCGAAAGTAACGTTTGTTCGTTGCTCCTGCGGGCGGTAGATAGCAAATCCGCCATGCTATAATCGTGTCTTTCAGCTTTGCGCTTCGCCCGACTAAGACGGCCGTGAGCTTTCCACTCACGGAAACGCGCGCTGCTGCATCAGAGGGGGCGAGAACCTCCCGCGCTGGAGAGGCGCGAGTCGCCGCTCCCTTTCACAAGCGACTGGTGCAGTCGACCCGTCAGCGCTTGACGTCGTCCTTGCCCGTCGGTTCTTTGCCAAAGCTCCTTTTCGTCTCTCGCTGGTCCTCCCCAATTTGAGTTTTGAGCTGCTCTTGAGACAAAGGCGTTCTGGCGGACAACAACACCTGGGGAGTTCGGGCGAAAATTTTGGCATCCACTGGGTGAGTGAAGCAACCCCTTCATTAGCGCACGGTAATTCACGTAATTATTGGGAGTCTTGTTTCGTTTTTGCTGTTCCTTGCGCGAAAAGACGGATAGATTCATCCTGTTGGTGCCTCATTTTCGGAGTGTTCTTATTCCTGGGGAATCGCGGAGATAATCCACTTTTCGAGGAAGTGCTTTATTTTGTTTTACTTTCATTTCGTGTGATCAGAAGATTAGTCTTTTCGTTTTGTTTTCTTTATTTTTAAAACGTGTTCACGGGATTAGTCGTAAGCCACGGGTAGTGATATCTATAAACAATAAAAAATTCAACTACAGTAGAAATTCCGGGCCGTTGTAGCCATTAGTCGTTTCCCATCGTAATGCACCATCACAAGAAGGCATTAAAAAGAGCCTCCGCTAAAAAGATGCTGGATTATGAAACCAGGTTTGCGGAGCTTCACAGCAAAGCCCTGGCGCTAGGTCTATCTCGAAAGGAGCTGTTCGAACTACCTAGCGTAAAAATCTTACAGCGTGTTGGCTCATCTCCCTCCTTAACACAGCTGCTAAGCCAGGTAGGTGGTTTTATTCGAACCGTGAAGCCGTCTCGCCGGTGCGTGAGGTTTCTGTTGGCGTTACTCGTCGTTGTAGTGACAGTTCAATTTTGGTATTATAGTCTTCACACTCAAAAAGGCTGGGTCTCCTTATTTGTCGAGAGAAACAAACTTGAATCAGAACCATGCATCGTGGACATGCCACCTAAAATTCAGAATGCCATGATGCCTCCTGTCGACTGCACCATCTGCAAGAACCTCAAGAAAGTGTCTAGAAGGTCATCACTGAGCCGATACGACTTCGAAACAGAGCAAGTATTCTACGTATTACAATATTGTGATTTTTATTCAGCTAAAACGTGTAAAAGCCTTCTTACCAGAAACTTTGAGCATGCATGTCATGCATTTTTGTTGGTCTGACATAATATACTACATGCTCTCACGTTAATGCTATGGCCAAGCTGTGTACAAGATTTTAGGAAAATCTCCTTCGAATGTGTACGCGAGCACAAATATACTGCGAAAGTCTATTTACAAAAGTGAGCTTGTTTAGGAATCGCGGAATATATGAGCATACGAGTATATCAGCAAAATATATATAGATTCTAAAGGACTAACTAGTGGCTGGCCTTCAGAACATGATGGGCGTTTATTGTCCTTCCACAAAACTTGTAGTGTGCATGGGCTGATGTCTGTAAACGCAAGGTCGTGCGAGGACTGAATAGTAGTCTTAAGTCCGCTATAAAAATAATTGTGCACTGATTAATGACGTGAAATCTCTAAAGAAAAGAAAGTCACGCATATTATTTTTTGTAAAGAAATATTTGTCAGATTTGCTAAGGTTTTTGCATGAGGAAGTTGCATATAGCTAGCAGAGTTTCTATAAAAAAATACTTGAAAGCAGAGTAGCCAACATTCAACTGTCATTAATAAGCTGTTTTTCGGAGGAAGCTGGGTTATCATTAGCTGTAATTAAGAAGAAAATGTGGGCCTGGGTTGGCCACGTAATGAGGAGAACAGATAATCTATTGTTCATAAGATCGATGGGATGGATGCGAAGACATAAAAATTGGAGCTTAGGAGAGCGAACGGTCAGAAGTAGTGATGAAACTTAAAAGTTCGTTCGCACAAAATCAAGTCTACATGGTCGTCCTAAAATAAAATTATTATTGATAAGCACTGGATAATACCGTCAATTCCTCTTGCGCTGCCACCTGTTTCTTGTATTGGACTTCAACACAGTTACTACTAAGTTCCACTAAATGCAGGCCGTGCTTAAATCAAGTGCGTTGAAGCAGTCTACCACACAAGAATATTATAAAAGCTGGTGCAGTCATATCTAAAGTTTCTACTCTTGCATAGGTCAACATGAAAGCACGTAAGTTGATGTCGACATCACCTAATCTCTCCAAACATTTTTGTGAACCTTTCATACCACCATGCGCGAAACCATGCAATGCAAATCTTTCCTATCCACGCTTCTTAACCCTGCGCTTTGATATAAATATCACGACACCTGCCTGAAAGACGGTTCTTTGAAGACAAGTAACGTACTACAAGGAACTATATGAACAACGTACGCTATATAGACGCACGCTATGCAATGAGGACAAGTGTCGTTCGTTCATGAACGGCGGCTACATGAGACGCCCAACTAAGGTAAGCGTAATTTTTGTCAGCACTGCTGGTGCTATACACTCTGTCACTTCTGGTTTGATTGATATGTGGCGTTTAACGTCCCAAAACCACCATATAATTATGAGAGACGCTGTAGTGGAGGGCTCCGCAAATTTCGACCCCCTGGGGTTCTTTAACGTGCACCCAAATCTGAGCACACGGGGCTGCAACATTTCCGCCTCCATCGGAAATGCAGCCGCCGCAGCCGGGATTCGATCCTCCTGCGACCTGCGGTGTCACTTCTGGTTAGTAGACACATTTGTCAATTAGTAGTTCCCTACTTCTACTTCGAACACGCTTCAAACTCAGAAAACTGTTGCAAACACGTGCGGAAGCATCTTTTACTCCGAGGTTACCGATAAGCTGCTTGGTTTTCTGTGGGAAGTTTTACTCTCAACAAATACACCATAGCACTACGTACCGGGAACGCAGTAAAATATCTTCCATTATTTTCCATTCGTGATTATCTTACATTAATTCGTGACAGAGCCACGATTATAAGAAAAAGTTTTTCTAAAGCAGGTATTACATAGGATATGTCATCCTGACCCTAGTGGGGAATAAAATGTGTGGCTGACAAAGCTATGCTTGGGTTGTCGCCGTCAAGTAAGCGCAAAACATACTGATGGGATCACGAGACTCGCAACTCCATCATGAGCTCCTCCACAATTTTATACGACATGCGGATAATATCCATGCGTTGAACTTAGCCTGTCGAAATCGTACGACATTGAACACTCGTATCTTTTTGTTAAAGGATTTGATCTTACGACGAGTTTCTTACCGGTTTATAAATTTGAGCAGGTCGTATGTGTGTGCGCTCGTAGAAGCATTTTTTGAGTTCTACCAAACTTTAATTTCAATCGTTTCTTTGACGTGTGCGCCATATTATGAGTATTCAACACAATAGGAAAGACAGAGGGAAGGCTAACCTAATCATAGCGTTAACGCCCTCATGGTGATTTTCTGGGCTGAAGTATATTTTATTGAATAATGTCAGGCCAATCAGGTCATTATCGTTTCTTGCTTCAACCATGAGTGTTCTAATTAGTATACGACTTTCGATTGAATAATCCAGACTGCAGTGTACTTAGAAGAGTCTTTGAGCGATGATATCATGAAAAAAGAGACTATAAAAGTCATGTTAAAAGAAAAGCATATCTAAATTTGTTTTCCCGATTGCTTTTTTTTACAATGACAAGCCATGAGCGTTCTCTGAAAATCTGAATTGCTATAGACAGCTGCATATTTTATAAACGGGCGCTGACATTCAAATCAAAATCATGTGCTTTCACAATTGTGCAGTTACCACACTGATGTTTCTCAATCACCCACAAGATATGCGAACATTTCAGCATGCTTTTTGCTATATATATTATATATATATATATATATATATATATATATATATATATATATGATACCTACCTAGTGACTAGTGAAGCACGTCTTTTTGCGCAATACTTCTGCAAACTTGTGCACGGATAATCGTACAGGGTGGTCTTCCAGCAGAGTGCGGGTGCCTTCGCGAACTTTGATAATCATTTTCACTGCTTGGTGTTTCTAGAGTGGTTAATAGTATTGCTGAATAACTGAAATAATATATCACGCACTTTACAGCATATTACACCTGAATACGCATATGCACGACTTGATTGTATCTCATACTTCACGGAAACGAAATACCGTTATCTTCGGCACCACTGTTTGCAGTCTGTGACATTGGACATCTTCAAGCATCGTTGAGCACGGGCTTTATCTGTTTCGATGTTCTCCAGTCTCTCTCTTTCGCTTTATAAGAGAAGAAAGTAATCTATTCTAGCACATTTCTTGCAATCGTTAAGTACATATTTTTTGTTAAGTAAATTGCCGAACGCTCGGGCATTATACAGTTTATCCCAAACTGAAGAAGTACCTACGTAACGGGCAAAAACTCATCATAGTCAATTTTATAGAGATGAACGCTCTGATAATGGGAAAGAAAGCTTATTTATAGTTATAAAGATAGGAGCGTGAGCTGGTTGCCGCGGATCTTACATTGCAAACAGCGCCTAGAAACACAAACGAGGAACAAGGTGGCGTTAGCGCTGACTGCAAAGCACACTTTCAGGACGACTAGGGGGTCATGTTTATTATTTACGCTCAGGCGGTGGTTCACAGATAAAAATTAGAGTCGAGGATACACTTATACAACAAGACATTCGATTGGCCCAGCCAAATGATCGGGACACAGTGGGTTTATACGAGTGTTTAGTAACGCAGAAAATCTTGGGTAAGCACCTCCAATATACTGGTCAGTTACTACCAATCAAATCAGAATTGACGCCGCTTCATTTTCAACATTTAGAAGATGAACATAAGACAGTTATTGTTTATATTTATTGTGTTTAGCCAATACTTAAGTGAGCACACGCTGAAAATAGAACGATCACACAGTAACTCCATCGTTCTTAACAAGTGTATGAATTTTATCATTTTTATGTCATAAGGTTCTTTTGTCTTAACGTTGTCGTATCTATAATGTTACACCGTGCAACCATATCCATTACAATTTCGAATTCAATTTCTTGTTGCAGATACGCTTATACCGGGATACCCGTCGTCGTCACCGACGGGGCTTCTAACTGGACTGCTTTACAGACTTTCTCGCTCAGCTTTTTTGAAAACGTGTACCAGAATGCGGCATTCAAAATGTCTAGAAATGCCTGTCAATTCTTTCCTTACAAGACGGAGTTCAGAAGCCTGGAAGAAGTTTTCAGCATGTCTGCTGAGCGGTCACGACTTCCATGGTACATAGGATGGTAAGAAAGACTGCATCGTTTCATGCTTTTCTCAATTCACTTCAACGCGGCTATTTCATTGCCATGATTTCTCCTGAGCTCTTCATGCGTGGAAGGGTGGGGGATCTAAATTTTTACTTTGTAAACTAGAATGTTGCCATAAATCTTATTAATAAACAGCAGTGGAGTCTACAAATACTCTGCGCGCACAATTACGTGCTATATTCGAGGTCTTAGAGCTTATCAAACCAAGTGAAACATTAACTCATATCTTCGGAGCGTCGATTTCCGAAGAAAATACAAAATTTTGATAATGACGACAGAAGACACCATGCTTGTCATTATACGTTATATTGACCTGACTAAAAATGTAGGTATTTTAATTAGTACTGTATTCGTTCGCATTATGTTCAAAGTATTTCAGAACGACTGCGGAAAGTACTGGGTATACTGTAACGCATTAAGACGCACGCTCGAGTTCACAAATGAACGCTTTCAGTTGTTCTGGGGGGTTTCAATGCCAAAAACTTTTGATGCCTCATCAAATGCGAAAATTGACAAACAACGTCCTGCGGCGTCGGTGACAAGTACTAATGATGCAAAAAGTCATGAGATGACATCACTATATAGCGCCATTATTACTTCACATATCAGCAAAATTTGTAGTGTTACTGTTAAAAATTAAAGACGAAGACGGTCTCACACCGCACGCCTACAGTATTAAATAGGTATAAAGTGTGACGTTGAAGGTAGTGGAAGAAGGCAGCCATGCCGTTAGTCTGTTCTTTGTGTGTTCTTGTGACGTTATTATGACGTCACTGTGTGATGTAACATGGCGATGTTTTTGCATGACATTGTAGCGTGGTTAAAGACGTGCGAAACCGGGTGACGTGTCTACGGTCCTAGGGACAGTGGAAAAGCACGTTAGGAGCACACAGCTTTCGTAAGGTGGCTGGCCGGGCAAGGTCACTGTGATCGACTAAGATGAAAGCGAACATGGCTTCAGCCTTGCAGTCGTATTATGCTGTTATTTTTACCATTCGTGTTGGTGTGCAAACAAAACTTACCCAAATCCAAACTTTATTTGCAAGTTATATTCAGAAAGAGAGGTTCAAATCAATTTGCGAGAAGTGTGAACGCATCATTACTGTGGACCATATGCTTCGGCACTGTCCTGCGGCTTTCAGAGAATGCGACAAAGAAAGGAACTGGAAGCGAAAATTCCTTTACAATCGATCTCTTTCAGATCAAATACAGGCCGTCCAGAAGGCCCACGATACGGTAGTAAGGTAAACCTTACTTTCCCAACTTGGGAGTCTTCTGCGTCAATGTAAGCGTTGATCTTCAGGACCTGTAAAAGTTTACCATACCAAACTATCCCATATTCATGTTGGTGCCAAGTGCACTAGATTTCGCTACTCATGAGATATAAAACGTTTTCGGTGTAATAAAGTCAGATACAAATATCCAAAATGCCAGCGTCAATTTAGCTGTACACGTGAGAGAACTGCATTAGCATTAGCACAGGTTTAATTCAGCAACTACCACACCACAGTGGTACCACAGACTACCACACTGGTACAGTGATTGGCTGGCACCACGATGGTTAACGTACTTGCATGCATGCGGGGCATCCTTAAAGGTGGTTTGTTCCGCAGGATCATATGCGGCTGTGATAGTCGTTAGGCGTCGGGTTGCAGTAATATGGGCTCGCAGTAAAAATCCGGTGTTACGAATTTTTCATTACAAATGCCACTTTTGTGACAAGGCTCTTTCCCTCTTTCGTCGACCTTTCCTTCTATTCACCCCATTCGAAGCAACCTACACGCCACCGGCTTCAGATTGAATAAACTGTCAATTTATTTAGACTTGATGACCCTACTTGTGCCGCAATAAGTATTGAATAAAAACATTCCCAACTCTATGCGAGAAGCACTTTGCGTCTGGTGTGTCCGATGAGCGTTCAATGAAAGTTTTACTGTTGTCATACTCCTGAAGTTTTCACACACACAGATAACACAGTTTAAGCTCTCATAAACATTGTCAAGCTTTATGTACCGGGCGTCTTTAGAGCTCCCGAGTGTATGGGAGAATTTTTAAAAATAACTAGGTAAATATTACGACAACAGATATGTTTGTCCTATTTCGTCGTGTTCTGTTTAGCCTACACAAATCCCACAAGCCGACAATAAAAATTATTTCAGAATTTGAAACAAGTTGGTGGTAGGTTACGAGTCAGTTTCTACAGTTTACTGCGGAGTAGTACATTCGCTAGTAAAAGATGTACATGCGCTTTGCTCATTTGCTAGTCAAAACATTCTCCGTCATCTTTCAGGAGCAATTGCAACCCTAGTGTGGCAAATGTTCTGAGAAAGCATTACCAGACACCGTACTTTCTGCCAGCATATTCGGAGGGCTCTACGCTCGACTGGATTTTCATGGGAAGCCCAGGTTATGGTGCTCATTTGCACGTGAGTACAATACATATCTTCCGTTTGGAGCATTCAAATCACTGCACTATGTTTCGTTTTAGTTGAAGTAAAGTATTTATTCTTTCTAAATTGATAAGGCAGCTACGATCTCGTGTAACGTAGTAGTACTTGCTAAAAGGAGGTCGTAGTAGGACTAATAATATTAGCAGTAAGTAGTTATTGTCTGATAATTTAGTGCATCATCGAATGTTACTTGATTGATTGATTTGGTGAGTTTAACGTCCCAAAACCACCATATAATTATGAGAGATGCCGTAGTGGCGGGCTCCGGAAATTTCGACCACCTGAGGTTCTTTAACGTGCACCCAAATCTGAGCACACGGGCCTACAGCATTTTAGCATCCATCGAAAATGCAGCCACCGCAGCCGGAATTCGATGCCGTGACCTGCGGGTCAGTAGCCGAGTACCTTAGCCACTAGACCAATGTGGCGGGGCAATGTTACTTGATTGCTGGCAGGTTTCTTGGACTGTCATGCACATAATATCATACAAAAAGAAAACTCAACCAGCTCCGCTTCATGGACACCGACGAAATAACAAAGCTGGTTACCTTCTTGGTCAGGCTTACGCATTTTTATGTTCTGCGAGTCTTTTAGATATGCCGTGTCACCACTCTTCATTAAACACTCTTTGATAATCATTCAGGTGACAGTATAGTTTTAAAACGTTTTTGATTACGCTACTCTCCCAACACCGTCTTACAGAGAAGCCCTCGCTTAAGATGCTCCTATGTATTCTATCACTGCCCTTTAATAAATACTGTTATATTTTAGTGGAGGCTGTGTATAGTGGGATTGACCCACTTTCTTCGGCATATACGCTTTTACGATTACAATAGTTTTTTTAGAAGCTGCACATTATTTCTGTGACATATACGCGTTTGTTCGGCTAACTGTTTATTTGATTTTTTAGTGGACCAATATTGACTAGTGGGATTTACCCTATGTATGTGGTGCATACCCGTTCATGATGCTCACAAGCCTTACCACGGATTCTGGACATGAAATTCTCCACAAAGAACAGCATCGCTGTTAAAAACTACGTTACTGAAAGAACGGCTTGTACATACTGTTTACGATACAGTGAAAAAACAGCTGGAGATTTTTTTCAATAACTATATTTTATTGCTGAATTCTCGCGTATTGGTTGCCATGATAAAGGTTTCAATTATGTGGATCTCAATTAGTTAGGAGTTATTACCATTTATATGTCCTTAAGTGGCATGTAGCTGGTGCCTTCGTTACTCTACTAATTGTTGCTAATTTTCTAGGTCATAAGAAAACACAACAATATATGAAAAAATACGTCACTAGACTGCAGTGGCATCACCAAGCAGTAGCGCACTCAAATAATCTCATTGAAAGCACGTACTTTGCCTGTCTGCTGAAAGATGGAGGACAGATTGTGTTAAAAAAACTAGCCACCCTGTTTACGAGAAGTCTCCTGGCGGGAAGAGTACCAGAGTCTTGGAAGAACGCTAACATCATCTTAATACACAAGAAAGGAGATGACAAGGACTTGAAGAAACAGGCCGATCAGCTTGCTCTCTGTAGTATACAAGCTATTTACAAAGGTAATTGCTAACAGAGTAAAGAAAACATTAGAATTCAATCAACCAAAGGAACAAGCAGGATTTCGAACAGGCAACTCAACAATCGACCACATTCATACTATCAATCAGGCAATAGAGAAATGCTCCGAATATAACCAACCATTATACCTATAGCCTTCATAGATTACGAGAAGGCGTTTGATTCTGTAAAAATATCAGCCATCATACACACACTGCGAAATCAGGGCGTCGATGAAATATATATAAATATCCTGGAAAAAATCTACAGGGGATCAACTGCTACCATATTGCTTTATAAAGAAAGCAACATATTACCAATCAAGAAGGGTGTAAGGCAGGGGGACACAGTCTCCCCAATGCTATTTACCGCGTGCTTACAGGAGGTTTTCAGAAGCCTGGAATGGCAAGAGTTGGGGATAAGAGTTAATGGAGAGAACCTTAGTAACCTGCGCTTCGCCGATGACATCACATTGCTGAGTAACTCAGGGGACGAATTGCAACTCATGATTACGGAGTTAGACAAGGAGAGCAGAAAGGTGGGTCTTAAAATTAATCTGCAGAAAACGAAAGTAATGTACAACAATCTCGGAAAAGAGCAGCGCTTCGAGATAGGTAATAGTGCACTTGATGTTGTAAAAGACTATGTCTACTTAGGGCAGGTAATAACCGCGGAGCCAAACCACGAGATTGAAGTAACTAAAAGAATAAGAATGGGGTGGAGCACATTTGGCAAGCACTCTCAAATTATGACAGGTAGATTGCCACTATCCCTCAAGAGGAAGGTATATACCAGCTGTATCTTCCCGGTAGTTAGCTACGGAGCAGAAACCTGGAGACTTATAAAGAGGGTTCAGCTTAAATTGAGGACGACGCAGCGAGCAATGGAAAAAAATGGTCGGTGTAACCTTAAGAGACAAGAAGAGAGCAGAGTGGATTAGGGAACAAACGGTGGTTAAGGATATCATAGATGAAATCAAGAAGAGGAAATGGGCATGGGCCGGGCATGTAGCGCGTAGACAGGATAACCACTGGTCATTAAGAATAACTGACTGTATTCCCAGAGAAGGCAAGCGGGTTAGGGGGACACAGAAGGTTAGGTGAGCAGATGAGATTAAGAAGTTTGCGGGTATAAATTGGCAGCAGCAAGCACAGAACTGGGTTAACTGGCGGAACATGGGAGAGGCCTTTGTCCTGCAGTGGACGTAGTCAGGCTGATGATGATGGTGATGATGATGATGATGACTTTGCCTGTCATACGTAACCAGGAAGCGTGTCACCTAGATATACTCCCATAAAAGGTTCTCGGATTTCACCCTTAAAAGTGTCTTTTTTTACTAACTCAGTGTGTCAAACCCCTTCAAAATGGAGTTTAGCGAAATTTTGCACCTATAGGCTTTGATTTAAATGAACATTGTAAACACCGCACGTTTTCCTAACACCAATGTTACCTAAAGTTAGTCATTTAGTGAGTGTCTAACAAAGAAATGAGCCCTTGATGCATTTTCATTTTTCTGTGAGCATTCAGGCTTTCGCCAGCATGAGCTAAAGAAAGTGAGTGAGTGAAATAACTTTATTAGGTCTACAATATACGCGAGTTAATTCAGCGTCACCTAGCTAGGCCCACTTGGAGACGGTCAGGTTAAACCTGATCATTTTCACGTGGGCCCTCGGGACGGCCAGGATTCGACAGGATTGACGCTTTAATCAGCTTATTCATTTCCTCTTGTCGAAAAGGGGGACCTGCAAAAGCGAACCCCCCCCCCCCCCCCCGACGTGCTTGAAGTCCGCATAACCACCGCACAAGGGGCGATTCGGGCTTGAGAACCATTCGGGGTGTATTGTGTGCATTGCCATAGGACTCAGTAGCATTTTTTTTTAGGGGCGAAGCTCCTTATAGCCTAACCTTGTCACTAGTCAAGCGTAACCTAGAGAAGAAGAAACCACAAACAAAATGAAGCGAAAGAAATGAATGGCCACTTGGTCCCATTTTCTACATGGCGTTACCCTGCCGCTACTCTCCAATTGGCTGCTGCGAGTGCCTCTTTCAGTCTCCTGGATAGTCGCCGTACGTGGCGGATCGTTGGTGGAGCATGGACGGAGCAGAACGGTGGGCGCGTTGAAGACGCTTGCGCTCGGCTACCTTAGACGCTGCGCCGTGCTCCCTAACGGGCTGCAGAAATTAAGCGTCTTTTCTTTCCTCTAATCACTACCACCACCACCTCGGCTCGCGTCTCACCGGTGTTACCCACACGCCGTCTGCACAGTGCGCGAACGAGTGCCTTTGTCAGTCTCCTGGATAGTCGCCGTACGTGGCGGATCTTTAGTGGAGCATGGACGGAGCATAGCGGCGGGTGCGTTGAAGACGTTTGCGCTCGGTTTCCTTGGGTTGTGTCTCGTCAGTGTCATTCACGCGCCGTCTGCATTCTCGAACGTGATCGGACGCATGGACGGATGAATGGACGGACGCTTTGCCCCACTCATCATCTTTCACTCCATGGAAATGCTGTGAATTTTTTAGATCGTAGTTCTGTTTAGTCAGCAAGATACCCGATTTCTTAATTTAGAAATAGTAGGCATGCTTCTTTATGTTGTTGTTTTTCTAGCGTATACAGAAACAGCACCAACAGCATTTCTCGCACATAAAGTGATTCGTTCCTCTTAACTTTACCTCACTCTAAACACCCATATCTTCCCATTCATAGCGCTATCACAAGTTTTTACATTGTGATGATCAAGAGACATTCTTATTTGGGTTTTTTTTTTCATTTTCAAATATTGCCAGCTCTTCGTCACGGTCTCCTTTCGCGGCCTAATTTTTAATATCTTGAAGCCCTTCTTGGGGCTCACCAGCGTAGTCATCGTTCGCTTCATGAACTCTACCTCATCACCGTTAGGCGCATCGTAGGCCTCAGCTCCCCACACTTCACGTCCTTCAACGTCGTCTTTAATCACCGTGCACCTTTCTTGTTAGCAGCGAAACAGCCTGTGGTGACTGTCTCTTCATTCTGTGTGAGCACACTGTTACGAAGCGCGCCTCCACACGACGTTACGAAGGGCGCCACGAAATCTCACCGCTGCTCTCACTGCTACGAAAGACGGCGACGCCAACACAGTCCCGAAGGCGCCACTGCTTCGAACTCCGCCGGGAAGGTCACCAGCCGTTTGGTAGCGTAGGTTTCTCAGCTCGCGACTGCTTCTGCGCACAGCTGATAGACGAGCGGACGAGACGACGGTCAGTTAAACAAGGTTTATGCACAGCATATATACAGAGGCGTTACAAATTCGGCACTGAGGCCGACAGCTTAAGACTCGAAGAGCCGCGCTCTCTTCTCTGACACATAGGTCTACTGCTCGCGACGCGACGCCGGGATTTTTTTTATATGCACCAGGAGCATTCTTTGAGTA